AAGACAGGGTCTCGCTGAATTGCTGAGGCTAGCCTCCAACTTGTGGTCCTCCTGCCTCAGCCTCCCAAAATAAAAAATGAGACAAAGGGGGCTGGGGTTGGGGCTCAGTGGGAGACCACTTGCCTAGCGCGTGTGAGGCCCTGGGTTGGATCCTCAGCACCAAAGTAAATAACTCAAATAAAGTGTTGTGTCCACCTACAACTAAACAATATTAAAATACAGGACTGGGCTGTGGCTCTGTGGTAGAGCACCTGCCTAGCCTGTGTGAGGCACTGGGTTTCCTCCTTAGCACCACATAAAAGTAAGTAAATAAAGCAAAGGTCCATCAACAAGTGAAAAAATATATTTTTTTAAATACTTTTTTAGTTGTACGTGAAAATATCTTTACTTCATTTTTATGTGCTGCTGAGGATCGAACCCAGGGCCTCCCATGTGCTAGGCAAGCGCTCTACCACTGAGCCCCAATCCCAGCCCTGAAAAAATATTAAAAAAAAAAAAATACAAAGACTGGGGCTGGGGCTCAGTGACAGAGTGTTCTCAGGCTCAATCCCGGTACCACAAAAAATTAATTCACAGATCATCAAAGTCCCCTCTTAAAGTACAGTGATTTTTAACATTTTCAAAATGTCACACAGCCACCATCACCATCTGATTCCAGGACATTGTCATTGCTCCAAAGAGAGGCCCACAAGAAGTCACTTCCCTTACCTCCCTGTCCCCAGCCTTAATCACCATCTTTTCTTTTTCTGGTCCCAGCAGTTGAACCCAGGGGTGCTTAACCACCGAGCCCCATCCCCAGCCCTTTTTATATATTTTATTGAGAGACAGGGTCTCAGTAAGTGGCTCAGGGCTTCACTAAGTGGCTGAGGCTGGCCTCCAACTTGCGATCCTCCTGCCTCAGCCTCCTGAGCCACTGGGATTATAGGCGTGCGCCACACCACACCTGGCTGACCATCTTCAATGACAGGTGCGGGCTGGGGCTATATCTAAAAAGGGAAGAAAGTGTATTTTGTGGAGTTGGGATCTCTGGCATGCAAAATATTTGGAAAACCCTCATTCGTTACCTCTTTTGAGTATTTCTTCTCTTTTTCTCTTGGCTTCCTGAGATCTGGTGTCTTCCTTTGGTGCTGGACATGGCCCCCCAGGGCCTGGAGTGTGCTGAGCTCACACCCCCCCACTGGGGGGCGCTCTGGGCCTGGGGTTCCAATGAGAAAAGCACTAGATGCTTTGGTTTTGTCCTGTGGATCGTGGATGAGCTCTTCTGTATTTGGTTTTTCTATTTTTTTTTTTTTGTGAATCACTTTAGATAATTTTTACTGATGTGTTCATTCGTAGTTTCCATCTCCCAATTTTATTTTATTTTATTTTAGGTACCAGGGATTGAACCCAGGGGTGCTTAACCACTGAGCCACATCCCCAGCTCTTTTTTATTTTATTTTTTGGGGGTGACCAGGGATTGGACTCGGGCTCTCAACCACGGAGCCCTATCCCCAGCCCTGTTTTGTATGTTATTTAGAGACAGGGTCTCCCTGGGTTGCTTAGGGCCTCACTAAGTGGCTGAGGCTGGCCTCCACCTTGCGATCCTCTTGCCTCAGCCTCCTGAGTGGCTGGGATTACTCCTATGCACCACCACACTTGGATTCCTCCAACTTTCTTCCCTCTTTCCACTCTTTCACATGAACACCCCCCGTAAGGTCCACAGAGAAGAGCCTTCAAGCTGGTACAGACTCCCCCAGTGACTGCAGTGCTTGGGGGTTCTGTCTCCCTCAGGTTTGCCCATACTCTGCTTTTAAGAGTTTGATAATAGTTGGGTGCCGTGGCACGTGACTGTAACCCCAGCCGCTCAGGAGGCTGAGGCAGAAGGATCACAAATTTGAGGCCAGCCTCCACAATTTAGGGAGGTCCTAAGCAACTTGGCAAGACGCTGTCTCAAGACAAAAACTAAAAAGGGCTGGGGATGTGGCTCCGTGGTTGAGCACCCCTGGGTTCTGGGGTGTCACTAAAAAAAAAGATGATATATCTGACTTCCTAATGGCTTGCTGGCTTGTACAAAGGCCCTGTCTTCCTCTCTTTGTCACCAATCATCCAGTATTTCCATTCCGCTTCCTCTTGGAGCTCCTGTCTTACATTTTCAGCACACTGGTTGCTCAGCAACCTCACTTCTCTGATGCATTTAGGGAAAATTATGATTGTGTAAATGATGTGGCTTTTTTCTTATTGTTAAGATAGAAGTGATATTTTTTTCCAGCTTTCTATATTCTAGCTTCTAAACTCAATCTTGAATACTAAGTAGGAGTACAAAGAAGAAAGGTCAAAAACTGTGTTTTGGGCAGAGGAAAGTTACTTCAGCAAGAAACAAGAGGAAGCCAGGCGCAGTGGCCCACGCCTGTCATCCCAGTGACTTGGGAGGCTGAGACAGGAGGATCGAAAGTGGAGGCCAGCCTCAGCCATTTAGTGAGGCGCTAAGCAACTCAGCGAGACCCTGTCTCTAAATAAAATAGGAAAAGGGCTGGGGATGGGGCTCAGGCCCCTGAGTTCCATCCCTGGTCCCTCCACACCCCTCAAAAAGAAAAAGAACTTAGTCGCCCAGGTTGGCCTTGAACTTGGGATCCTCCTGCCTCGGTGTCCTGAGTACCCAAGGTTGCAGGCGTGTGTGGAGGTGGCCTCTGAGCGCATCCTCTGCCCTTGTGCTTCTAGGCAGAAGACGCCACCGGGGCTGTGGATAGCGCTGAGACCTGGGGAAAAGCTTGGGACAATTGGAGGCTGCTCACCATGGCGGGCATCTTTGACTGCTGGGAGCCCCCAGAAGGGGGCGACCCCCTGTACTCCTACACCATCATCACCGTGGACTCCTGCAAAAGCCTCACCGACATCCACCCCAGGCAAGTCTCGCTTCTCAGCCTCGGGTCCACAAAGATTCCAGCAAGGGTTTGTCCTCTGTGCTGTTAGATAGGCAGCTTCCGGGAAACTAAAATTGTACAAAATAGAGTTATCATCAGTCCAGCTACAGCATAGGCACAAACACGGCTGGGACCCAATTACCTGTCAAGAACCCATCGGAGGCAGGCACGGTGGCACACATTGCTAATTCCAGCAGCTGGGGAGGCTGAGGCAGGAGGATCACAAGTTGGAGGCCAGCCTCAGTAACTTAAAAAAAATAAAGAGGTCTCAGGGACTGGGCTTGTGGCTCAGTGGCAGAGCACTTGCCCAACATGCATGAGGCACTGGGTTTGATCCTCAGCACCACATAAAAAATAAAAAAATAATATACTATGTCCACCTAAAGCTAAAAAGTAAATGTCTTAATAAATAAATAAATAGGGGCTGGGGTTGTGGCTCAGTGGGTTCCCTCTCTGGGACCAAAAATAAAACACAATGACAGAGCAAGGACATAGCTCAGTAGAAAGCCCTTGCCTGACACAGGAGGTCCTGGGTTTAATCAGGAAAAAAAGAAAATTGAGCCAATGAATAGCCCGTCCCCAGCCCTATTCTGTATTTCATTTAGAGACAGGGTCTCCCTGAGTGGCTCACGGCCTCGCTTTTGTGGAGGCTGGCTCTGAACTCCTGATCCTCCTGCCTCAGCCTCCCAAGCTGCTGGGGTGACAGGTGTGCAGCACTGCACCTGGCTCTATTTGATATTGAGACAGGGCCTCCCTGAGTGGCCTAGAGCCTTGTTAAATTGCTGAGGCTGGCCTCCAACTTGCGATCCTCCTGCCTCAGCCTCCTGAGCTGTTGGGATGACAGGCGGGCACTGCTAGAAATTCCTTAGTGCCATTTCTCTGTGTACTGTGGCTTCTCCCAACCACAGAAAGCTCTGGAAAGCAGAGTCATGAGACCCACCAAACCCATCATGGGTGCATCGTGCTTTTTTCTTTATGAGAGAAGTTAACTCAGTCCAAAGGCTAAAGAATCTTCTCACGCCTTCACAGTATTTGGAAAGTGGTTCCAGCCGGGACATTTATTTTTACATCCTTGTCACTGATATGGATCTGTCTATACCCGTTGCTCTGGCGATGATCACGTGTTCTCTTTTTTCTCTCAAGATGCTGTATTACTTCAAGCTTCTGTTCAGTATTTAAAATGCTTCCATCTGCAATGGCTCCCTGGGGTACTTTTTTTGGTAGATGGACACAATACCTTTATTTTATCTCATTTATTTATTAATTTGGTACTGAGAATTGAACTCAGTACCAAATAAATAAATTTGACCCCTGAGCCCTGTCCCTAGCCCTTTTTAATATTTTATTTAGAGACAGGGTCTCCCTGAGTTGCTCAGGGCCTTGCTAAGTGGCTGAGGCTGGCCTCCACCCCGTGCCATCCTCCTGCCTCAGCCTCCCGAGCCACCAGGATGACAGGCATGCACTACTGCACCTGGCTTACTGTAGGTCTTTCTCATTTGGGGAGGCTGCAAAGTTTTGTGGAGAGATCTAGTCTTTAAATTTAGGCCTCAAAGAAAGTTCATTAGTTTTCTAGAATGTTCAGTGGCCTGCCCTGGGATTGGTTGTAGCCTCTCCACTGTTTTGTGTGACACTCATTCTGGGGTCTCCACGTTGACTCTGGAGCTCTCTCGGGTTGTGCCGAGGGGGAACCTGTCACACGAGGGACAGAGGGCGGGCCAGCTCCTCCTCATGGCCTGTCACCTACTAGCTGACCCATCTCTCTTCCCTCTCCTTCCCCACCCGCCCTCCTGACCCGTGGGCTAGGATGCCCGCCATCTTGGATGGAGAGGAGGCTGTGTCCAAGTGGCTCGACTTTGGGGAGGTGTCCACCCAGGAAGCCCTGAAGCTGATCCACCCCACAGAGAACATCACCTTCCACCCCGTCTCCTCCGTGGTGAACAACTCCCGCAACGACATGCCCGAGTGTGTCACGCCTCTCAGCCTCGTGGTCAGAAAGGTAAGGAGGGCTTGTGAGCTGGGACAGAGCCCAGGGGCACTTAACCACTGAGCCACATCCCCAGCCCTTTCT